ATAAGACTGTGTTTAAAAAAACAAACAAACAAACAAACAAACAAAAAAAAAAAAACCACTTAAATTGAAAGCCACAGACAGATTTATGAAGTATAGCAATAACCTGCAACAAACTTTTTGATATTGAGGCAAAGAAAAATAGGAAGTAGTGAAAAGAAGATGACCAAGAAAACAAATAGTGGCTATATATTTGATATTTTCAAAAAGTAACATTTTGTGGCTGGTGAAATGGCACGGCTTGTAAAGGTGCTTGCTACCAAGCCTGATGACAGTAAAAAACTGACTTCCAGAGTGTCCTCTGACCATCACAAGGACACATGGCAAGCCACACACACACACAAAGATGAGGAGAAAAGACAAAGGTCAACATCTTTTAAGTGTTGGTAAAGACTATCTGTTGAGGCTGGGTGACAACGGCACGGCATTTATATTTATTTGATGTTTCTTGACTTTTTTCCTGTCAGTCTACTAGTTGACTATTTAAATTTTCTATCTAAGATAATGTTACAAATTCACTTCACATTTATATATTTATGTATTTATATATTTATATATTTAAAGGTCTTATTCCTTGAAAGGGAAGTGAAAAAGCTTTAAAAATGAGAAAAAAGTCACGGAGCTACAATTCAACAATTATCTTCAAAGTTACAGTTTGCATTAGTTTGAGAACAGCAATTCTTTGTAACTATGGAAACTTCAGTGCAAACTTGTTCAGTATCACACAACACAGAGTTATCAATTATAACAATCTCTTCAAGGGCACATATATATATATATATATATATATATATATATATATATATATATATATGATACATATTATAAACAGCTATTTTAAAGCAAATGCTGTTTCTAAAAACCAAACAAACTAGAGCGGGTAATATTCAGTACTATCTAAAGCATTATCAGTGAATACAAATTCAACAAATACTTAAGAACTTCCATCAAAGGCAAACAACCAAGCTAAAACAGCTAAAAATGGAAATAGAATAACCCAAAGGAGCCCATTATCTACTTCATATACAACAGCTCACTATTCCCCACTCAAACTAATTTTCTAACTTTTCTAAATAGCAAATTGGTCTGTACCTTGGCTGTTTAACTCAAGATTTGGTTGTTTCTTAACTTAGTTATGCTGTTTCAAGGTATTTGTTGAATATTTTTGAAGATATTGTTGAATTGTAGCTCTATCAAGAGTGCCCAAGCTTTTGACACTGTAAGACATTGTCACCTACAAAACTCACACTCACAAACCATGCAATAGGGCTGCAAAGATGGTTCGGTGGTTAAGAGCAATTGTTCTTATAGAAGACTGGAGTTCAGCTCCCAGCACGCACAGGAGCTCACAACTGTCTGCAACTTCAGTTTCAAGGGAGAGGTCCCCTTACAGCATCCTTGGGTACTGCATGCACACACAGAAAAGCAAGTGAAACACTCATACACATAAAATAAGCAATTTTTAAAAACTAGACAATAGTGCTGGAGATGACTCAGTGGTCAAGAGAAATTCCTGTTCTTACAGAGAACCCAGATTCAAATCCCAGCACTCATATGGTAGTTCACAACCATCTATAACTCCACTTTCAGGTTTCAACACCATCTTCCAGCCTCCTCAGACACATAAATGGTGCACAAAAAACATGTGCACCCATATACATAAATAAAATTTTTTTAAAATTTCTAAAGAATGATGCAACAGGGAGGGGGCTACAGCTGGGATACAAAGTGAATAAACTGCAATTTATTAAAAAGATAAATTAATTAAAACAAAAAGAATGGTGCAACAGAATGGCCGAAGATTAACAAAACCACACATTAAAAAATTAAAAAAAAACACATACTGTGATACTCACGACACTGTTGTCAGACAGCATTTATACCTGGACTTGGCTGTATGGAGCCCTCCAGATGCAGAATGAACACACCTGCATTTAGTTCACTGATTAAAAAGAAACAAACAAGAAACTCTGCTGGACATTACTTATTTGTGTGACTATCACAATTTGAAGGCCATTTTTTAACTACCAGAGTCGACTGTCTTCTTTCTTATCATACAGGACATAGGCCATACATCATCTTCACATCCCCACAGTTTTGTTTACCACCTTCAGCACTCTCATTTCCTGTAGCACAACGCTAATGGCAATCAGTTAACTACTGTGAACCGGGAGACTATCAATAGTCTATGGTACTAGATAGTATCAAAGGACTGGGACTTATGTTGGTTATGAAGAGAGCAATATGGTGTGCAAGACCTTGGGTCCAATCCCCAGTACCACACACAGCCCAACGTAAAGTTATTTCCAAGTTTGTGATAAGGCTGCAATACACAAATCTGCCCATGTGCTTTGTTTCAGGATCTTTTTCTAGCAAGAGAATGTTGAAGCCAACAGGCATATATAAACTTTCAGGTTCATTAGAGGTCAAGTTCAGCAGGTATACTTTAACTCCTCCACCAAGCAAGCACTGTTGTTAATGTTTCTCTTCTCTCTCTCTTTTTTTTTTTTTTTTTTTTGTTGTTGTTATTGTTTTTTTTTTTCGAGACAGGGTTTCTCTGTGAAATAGGCCGGGCTGCCCTGTACTTTCTCTGTAGACAAGGCTGGCCTCAAGCTCAGAGATCCACCTGCCTCTGCCTCCCAAGTGCTAGGAACAAGCCATGACGCCCCACCCAGTCTTAACATATTTTTAATTGCCAAACTAATCAACCATTGGTACCACTGGTCTATTTTTTTTTCCCTAATTACTAAATGTCACTTACTGAACTTTTCAGGTTTCTTCATGCAAAAAGAATATAAACAATACTGTCCCTTTTATATTGATTTCCTACTGTCTCCTCCCAGTGCTGGTTGCATGGTCAAAAAAACATTGCTGACTGAAATTCCTGACTTCTTAAAATCTGCAACTACTTTCCAGGCCCTATTGGTGTTTCTCAAAGCTTTTGATCCTGAGCTGAAAACCTAATTGGAAACCAACCCAAAAATCAGAACAGTTTAGCTCAATTTTTTCTAAAATTTGATATCTTCTTAATCACAGCAAACACACAAGACAATCTGATCTCCACATGTAACCATGTCTAAGTAAGTACACACAGACAATAAATGTAAAAAAGGGGGCTGGAGAGATGGCTCAGAAGGACATTTGCTCTTCTTGCAGAGGACACTTGCTGCTCTTGCAGAGGACCTGGGTTCCTGCAATTTTGAGTATTCAGTCCCCAATACTCAGTAGGCCCACAACTACTTGTAACTCCAATTCTAGGGAATTCAAAGCGCTCATCTGGAATCCGTGCACACCAGGTACACAAATAGATTACACACATACATTACAATCATACTAATTCATAATGTAAAACTAATTCTTAATGTAATAAAAACAAGTTAAAGTTCAGACAGACACTTTATATGAAATCCATGCAGATGACTGAAACAATAAAGAACAGTGGTACTAGTCAATGACTTAAGAATTAAGATACAGCCAGTTGTGGTGGTGCACGCCCTTAATCCTGGCATTTGGGAGGAGAGGCAATCGGATCTTTTTGAGTTCGAGGCCAGCCTGGTCTACAGGAACAGAACTGTCTGGGAAAACAAAAACAAAAATTAAAAACAAACAAACAAATAAATAAATAAATGGCAGAGAGAATTAAGATACAGCCTTTAATCCTAGCACTCAGGGAGGCAGAAGCAGGTGCGATAGCTGTTAAGGCCTACAAAAGCAAGGACAGCCAATGGAAAAAGTCGGAATCTCACTATGTGCTACATAGCCCTGGCTGACCTGGCACTCGTTTGGAGATCAGAATGACCTCGAACTCAGAGCCCCTGTACGCGAAGATTAATGGTGGGTACCACCACAACGGGCAACCCGTCCCTCCCCCCCCGCCGTGGGTCTAACACAAACTAGCTCTTTACAAATAGTTCATTCTCAACAGGAATGAGCTAAATATTTTGCGTGGTAGTGAGCAAAAGACATCTGTTCAAAAAAAAAAAAAAAAAGTTCACTTCGCTTTGGAAATCACTATTAAATATTTTGTAAAAACAAAGACGCCGAACTAAAGTGTCCTTAGGTTACTAAGTCCCATCATTTTCTGGTAAAACATCTGCAATCCAAACGCTACAAAGAAATTCGCCAGCCAGGACCCTTTTTGCTACCAAGAAGGGGCTCTTTTCTCCGCATCACCTATCTCTAGACTCGCGGTTCAAAAGCTGACATATCTGTATTGGTAATACATGAGCAGACTGACTTATCATTGAAAGGGCACAACTCCCAACTCCACACATCTTTCCTTCTCCTACTGTCCATGAAAAACTACAGGATGAGGAAAATGCCGACTGAGGGAATTTCGGGCTCTAGGCGGGTGCGGGGCCTAAAGCTCTCGACGCTGATCCGGCGTTAGATTGTGGAACTTTTTGATTATTTATGCGGGCCAAGCACCGGTTCGGTAGGAGGCGTGGTGAACCAAGAGCGGGTTCACACTACTCCCCGGGGCGGCTGACCCCGCGACAGCACTCACGAGCCGCGGCGGGGATGCAGGGAGCGCGGGAGGGTCGCGCAGGGCCAGCGGGGAAAGCCTAGCGCCAGGAGACCGCGACGCCTGACAGTACCACCAGAAAGTCGGGTGGTTCACGGAATGCAAAGGACAATGCCGGGAGCCGGGGAAAGGACGCAGGATGCAGGGGGCCGGGAGCCGGCGCCAGACGCCGGGAGCCCGGAGTGGAAAGCGGCAAGTCTGGGGCAGGTAACAGGAGACTCCGGACCAGATCGCCGGGAACCTGGGGTAGGGAGACCGCGTGGGGAGAAAGGGAGTCCGGCCCGAGAACCCACCAAGAACCTGGGGAAAGCTGGGGAGCCGGGACGCAACTCGGGAAGCCGGCGCACGGAGTTGGAGATGGGAAGCTAAGAACCCAGGGAAAGAGCGGGGAGCCTGGAGGAGGACCCGGGTCCAGGGGAGCCAGGAGCCGCGGGGCAGGCACTGGGGAGCCCGGGGCAGGACGCGCGCGGCCGCTCACCTTTGCGCAGCTCCCGCTCCCACACCGTGACGATGGGCCGCGAGTGTTTGCGATGGTGGATGAGCCACAGGGACAGGGTCTGCACGCTCTGCTGCGAGTTGCTCAACTCGGACAGCTTCTTCTCCAGCGCCGCCTCGGAGAAGGCGGACATCCCTCCGAAACCACTTTCGCGCCGCGCGTCCCACGCCGTGGAGCCGAGAGGAGGGGAGTGTCGCCGCCCTCGTCGCCGCCTCGCCCCCACACCCCACCCTTCCCCACGCCCTCTCACCACTGCCACCCCGGAGTCCGAGGCCGGTCGCGATCTAGCAAGATGGCGCCCGGCCGGCAGTGACGTCACGCATCAGGCCCAGCCCCTCGCGCTGCTCTCCCTGGGAAAGCGTACGCCGCCTGGAGGTGGGAGTGGGAGGGAGGAACCGAGCGGAAGAGGCAGGAACTAGGCGAGTGGGAAGAAAGGGGGCGGGGGCGGGCAGAGTGGGGCGGGGCCGGCATCCTGGGGCGGGGCCAGGACTCCTGGGAGTCGTACTGGGCTTTCTGAGTAGTCTGCCTTGTTTCTGGGGAAAACTGCTCTGCTGCGTTAACAGTGATGACAGATCTCTGAGCAGGTTTGTGTGTTGATATAAATTGATGCAGCCACTTTGGAGGACAACTTGCATGATCGATTACATTACCGCATAATCCTGCCGGTGACAACCGCCAGGTGTTGGGGGCCAGCTTAGGTAATACAGATGACCCTGTCTAAAACCAAACAGGGCTGAGGTTGTAGCCCAGTCGTACACTTGCCTAGCATACACAAAGCCCTGTGTTCAAACCTCAGTACGGTAATTAAATAAGCAAACATACAAATGCTGCTCCCTCGCTCAGTTGGTAGAGCTCTTGACCAGCAGCCTAGCGTGCAGGCAGTTCTGAGCTCCTTCCCCAAGACCCGGCCTTCTGCTATCCCATGCCTACAATCTCAGCACTTAGGAGATGGGGGCAGAAGGATCAAAAATTTAAGTTCAGCCTCAGCTATATTGCAAGTTTGAGACCAGCTTAGGATAATAAGACCGTGTCTCAAAAAAGGGGATTGGAGACTGGAGAAATGGCTCTGATATTAAGAGTGTTTATTGCTTTTGCAGAGGACTTTGTTTCAATTGCCAGCACCTACACAGGGTAGCTCACAACCTTTTGTAACCCCAGCTCAAGAGAATCTAACACCCTCTTCTGGCTGCCTAGGAAACTGTATGCATGCACAACACATAAAAATAAAATAAGTTTTTTTTAATCAAAGAAGAACCAGAATAACCCCAAGGGGTCGACAAGATTTGACTGTTTTGTTTTTTTTCTTTTCTTTTCCAGATTCAGCTATTGCCAGTTTTGAGTAATTGTTACCTTTTCAAGAGTGTCACCATTGCTCTGTGGCCTGCCTGGGGCAAGCCCTCTCCTCGGTACTTGCTTTTCCTGATACTCCACGTGTCTTGAATTCCACAAGCTCGGGAACTGAAAGGTGCTTTGTGTTCTCAATGCTAACTACTACAAGTTATTCCTGTTCCCAGGCAAGAGGGTGCAAAAGGAGGCCACAGTGTGCCACCAAAGGAGGCCCAGTGCCGTGACCTTCCTGAGTTTTTGTGCTCTGCACACATGTAAGAACACCCAGACCCTGAAGGCTTTGACTTCACCAAGCTGTTCACTCTGTGTGTGTGTGTATGTGTGTGTGTGTGATGTAGGGGGTGTGTATGTAGCCTGGCAATACACATACTGATGGGATTCATGCTTACATTATAAAGGAGCAGGTGCTGGCATTTTCTTACCCTCAGGAAGCTGCCCAATATTTCTGTGCAACATCTTCAACCTCAACAGGGAAGTTTACTGTCAGCTGTTTGTATCAGATTCAAGACCAAGAATTCCATTAAAAAGAAATACAATTCACTGAAAACCTAAGGAACATAGGGGAAAAATGCATCCGTGGTGGGCCTTGTAGTGGTGGTTAGCCTGCTCTGCTAACAACAGCAGAGCAGCCAGACTGACAGTAATCCGCACCAGGCGCTGTGCTCCAGCTGTTCTGTTTTGTGTAACAGAGGAACTTGGCACTGCAGGTAAACAGCTGTGCTGTGAAGCATGCACATCACAACGTTCAGTAGAAACTTGAAAGATGGAGAGAACGGATCTGCTTGTTTAAATTGTAAACAAATAAATAAAGTACAATTCATCACCTTTTTAAAAAGTGTTTTGTTTTTTGAGATAGGATCTCATTATGTATCTCTGGCTGTCCTGGAACGTGCTACCTAGCCCAGACCACCTTTGAACTCAAAGAGATTCATTGGCCTATGCCTTCTGAGTGCTAGATTAAAGGTGTGCATCACCATACCAAGGGTTTTTTTTTTTTAATATATATTTTATATGAATTGAGATGTACTTAAGCAATCATGACAAATGCTCTGGAAGAAAACACTACATGTTCAACAGTTGCATTTGGAAAAAACTCTAACTCAAAGAGATCTACCTGCTTCTGCCTCCCAAATGGTGGGATTAAAGGCATGCACCACTATAACTGGCTTTTTTTTTAATTTGTCTTTTTTTTTTTTTTTTTTTTTTTTCTGGACAAGTTCTCTCTATACAGCCCTGTCTGTCCATAACTCTCACTATGTAGACCAGGCTGGCCTTGAACTCAACAGAGATCGCCTGCCTCTGCCTTCTGAGTGCTAAGATTAAAGGCGTGTGGTATGCTATGTCTTCATCTCTTAACCACAAATTAGTGATGAAGAGGTAAGATGATTTGTATTCATAGAAAGCTTGCTGAATGTGGTGGTAATCTGGGATGTCCACTGGAGAAGGCTACTCAGACACAAGTTTAAGCCAACTGAAAGTCTTTCTTAGCTTGCAAGCTACTACACTGGGTGTTCAGGATCACAGTGTAACAAGATCCTTTCTCAGGGTGAGGTTTTAAACACAAAACTCATGTCCTGGGTTGACATACTTCAGTTTACAAGATCAGTTAGCCAGAAGTGAAATTATAAAAGCCAAAATGCAAGGTTAGTACATTTAGAGACTTTCCCAGAACTAAGGACTTTGATGGATTAGTCCTTTGTTTTCATTTCAGTAGATGACAATGTCTGCATGCTGAATTTTATGGCCTGAATGGCACTTCCATCATGGAGCCAGTTGTGCTAAGGTCTGGAGGCCTGTTACAATGAGGCAGGCCTGTATTCCAAATATTTGCACTGCTGTGGTAAGAGGATCATGAATTTAAGAATGGGCTATGTAATATATTACAGGCAAAGCTAGACTACAAAGTAAGACCCTGTCAAACAAAACACATAAGCCATGACTGGTGGTACATGCCTTTAATCCCAGCACCTGGGAGGCAGAGGTAAGTGGCTCTCTGTGAGTTCCAGGTCAAGAAGGGATACACAATGAGAGCCTATTTCAAAACAAAACAAAAACCACAATTCTAACAAAAAGAAGACAGATGCAAAAAAGACTGTATATTTTTTTATTTTATTTACATGAAACATCAAGAATAGGTTAGCCCAGAAATAGAAAATGGTGGCCATAGGGTTTGGGGGATGGGCTTCTTTTTGGATTGATGAAAATATCCTGGAACTAGATAGAACTGATGACTACACTGGAATCTTGATGTACTAAACACCGCTGGCTAGCATGCTTAAAGGCGGTTAATTAAAAAAATGAAAGCAAATAGTTAATTCCTTGCTATGTGAATTTTGCCTCAGTACTAAAAGGAGGATGAAATTAACTTTTTTAAAAAAGCAAATTTGGGGCAGGAGAGATGGCTCAGAGGTTAAGAGCACTGGCTGCTCTTCCAAAGGTCCTGAATTCAATTCCCAGCAACTACTTGGTTGCTCACAACCCCCTATAATGAGATCTGGTGCCCTCTTCTGGCTTGTACATGTGCATGCAGGCAGAACACTATATGCATAATAAATAAATAAATAAATGTTTAATTAAGAATTTTTTATGTAAATTTATGTGTGATAGGATAAAATTCGAGCAACAGTGGTAGGGTACCTTTGACAGGTCCATGCTAAGGTATGCCCCTTGCAAAATTACACCACCCAACAAATCTAATGTAATATTTGGAGAAGGAGAGAATACAAAAGGATTTCTCAGAGTGGGGACATGAGGGAGAGACAGAGGCAGGCAAGCAGACTGACAGGGAGACAAGGAGACAGAGAAGAAACGAGAGAGACGAGAGATGAAAAGAGACTGAGAGAAGACAAGGAGAGAGATGCGAGGGAGGACAGAAAGGGCAGAGAGATGTGGGGTGGCTAAGGGTCCTTCTATATGCAGCACCTAGCATACCTGTGAACCTAGCTGCGGCAGATGATCATGTAAGCTGCTGCTAGGTCCCTGAGAGCAGGCCAGTGGGAATGCCTATTAACTAACAACTTCCCACTTTATCACTTATTTATTTATTGGGTGCTGAGTGTTGAGCCCAGGGCTTCCTGCATGAGGTACACCTCCAGCCATATTCCTTTTGTTATTATTGTTCTTTTTAATTTTTTGTTTTATTTTTGTTTTGTTTCATTCTGTTTTGTTTTGAGACAGGGTTTCTCTGTGTAGCCTTGGCTTTTCTTGAACTCACTCTGTAGACCAGGCTGGCCTCAAACTCAGAGCCTCTGAAGTGCTAGAATTAAAGGCCTGCGCCACCGCTGCCCCACTACATTCCTCAAATTTTAATTAACCCAAATTACTATGAGGAATCTCTTTTTAAAAATATTTGTTCTGTGTATTATTTATACAGTGTTCTGCCTGCGTGCCAGAAGAGGACACCAGATCTCACTGTAGATGTTTATGAGCCATCATGGAGTTGCTGGGAATTGAACTCATGGCCTTTGGAAGAAGACAGCGATCTTAACCTCTGAGCCTTCTCTCCAGCCCCCTATGAGGAATTTTGTGTTTACTAAATATAGATAAAAGAGAAAAGAGGTATGTCTTAGGGTTTCTATTGCTGTGAAGAGACTCTATGACCAGGACAACTCTTGGGGCTGGCTTACAGTTCAAAGGTGTAGTCCATTATTGTCATGGCGGAAAGCATGGCAGAACTCAGGAAGACATGGTGTTGGAGGGGGAGAAGAGTGTTCCACATCCAGTTCAGCAGGCAAAAGAAAGAAAGAGAGCCACTGGCCTGGCCTGGGCTTCTGAGAACCCAAAGTCCAACTAGTGACACTCTTCCTCCAACAAGACCACACCTTCCTTATGAATTCTTCTTATTAAAAATTCCAA